AATGTTTAATTATTAAGATATTGGGCCCCCAAAAGTGGCTCTTGTGCGAGAATGGTGAAAAGCACTGTTATTTCACAATTCTGGGGTCGGTACAATATCTTACTAATTAAAGACTGTGTTCATTACCAGACTACGTGACTGAAATAAGCACAAAAGGTTTTTTAGAATTAAAGGTTTTATGGCTATAGGCAGTGATAATATTGTGCTCGTATTTAAAATATATGTTACTACTATGCAATTCTTGCACTTGAGCCATTTTTTGGTGCAAAATATTATACTAACTAACCACTCTGTCCCTTAACAGACGTCATGAATTAAATAAGCATACAAATGTGTACTAGAATATAGGTTTCATGGTTCTAAACAGTACACTGTTAATGTTATGCTCATTTTAAATATATCAATATATAGTCGCACAATGTTATTGTGCAATTTTAGCACTTGGGCCATTTTTGAGGCAAAATATCTTACTAATTAAACAATGCATCCCTTTAAAATAACAGACTGCATACCTGAAATCAGCACAAAAAGTTGTCATAGAATGGAAGGGTTTCATGGCTGTCTAGACAGTACATGGATAATAGCATGCTCATTTGAAATCAATAATATAGTAAACACAATTTTATTGCACAATCTTGCACTTGGGCCATTTTTGGGGGTTTGCGCCCTTCGATTGCTGTTAAAACAACAAACTAAATCTTTTCACTTTTTTTCTATAGCACTTAAGCTTAACCATTTTCAAAAATCCAATGAATGAAGGTTTTGGAATCCTTGGGTAGTCATTAAACCAGTCACAAAATACTAACCTTGAACAATTTGTTGAATTTGAGAAATTAATAAAAACATTTGTAAAGTAATTTCTCCGAAAAATGGCCGATATGTCGATACGCCATCTTTGTTTTCATACGCATTCTAAACCCACTGCGATCCTTCAGATAATTTGAAACAACCGCGTTATATTCCCGACTGTAAGTGATTTGTGATTGGTCAATCAAATTGCACTTTGACACGATAATCGCCGACGACAAGTAAACAAACAAGATGCCGAACGGTTGTTGTGTATTTGGCTTCAATAGAACGCAAAGTCACCCAAAAGTATCGTTTTTCCTCTTTCCCAAGAAAGATAAAAATATAAAAACTTTTAATAAGTGGGTAGAATAAAGGACAACGAGGAAGAAGATGTTGAGGAAATGCCATCTCAGACCAAAAAAGAAAAACAACGAAATCTATATACCGACGAAAACGGGAGGTTGAAAGTGTAAGTAAGTTATAAGTAAAGTAGCTAGGCTAGGCCTAGGTAGCATATTAGCTAGGCATGGCCTAGTCTAGTTAGGGTGGGGGTGGTGGCTAGCCCTCTGCGGCCCTACCCTACGTAGGCCTAGCAATTTTGCGCCAAAGATTGCTATGAAGATGATGCACAAAATCGTACCTTACTAATCTAGGATAATACTACTTCTTAGGCCTAGCAGCAGCAGTTCTGGGGTCTACTATCTACACTACTAGGCCTAAATCTTATGCATTCGCCATAAATGCTAATCACATGTTTCAGCTATTTTAGCTTCAGAACCTACCAAGCACCCTCTTTTACTCCTGGGTGGAGGCAATGATAACGCCTTGCCAAATGACTAACTAGTGTAGAATAATTGTTATACAGTATTTTCGTACTGTATAACATTGCAAATACTTTTTTGAAATAGTCATTTTCTTGGATTTTCCTGAGCACCGACATCTGAAACCTTGCAGTGATGGGCTTGTTAATCATTTGCAAGATGTAACCACGTAAACGGACATGCAAATAGATACAGAGTTCTCCAACCATAGACACCAGAAAAAATATGTTGAAATACAAACAACACTAGTGAAGTTATTGAATAGCTCTTACAAGTTACTGTAACTTCGATTTTTTAATTTTATCTCAGAACCTACATAGCAGCTTTGCAAACCAGGGAGGAGATCTTGAGAACTCTTTGTGGTTCTCTCTTGCCAAAAAAGACTGGGTAGCTGAAAAAAATCTTGTCAAGTCTACATTCGGTAAGATAGCTTTTCAAAAAAATAATTTGTGCTTACCCATTTATATGTTATACTTGTTGAAGTATTTCAATGCATTTATAAGCTTAATTTCCACCATTTAAGTTAATACAGTATATATCAGCATTTGGGTCAGGCATTTCATGTGTTATAATATGTGAATGTTGTCTATCTTTGCAGAATACGCTGCGAACATAATTGAAATGGCTCTGTACATGGCAAAAAGTAATATGAAAGAGTTTTTTACACTGCTGAAATAATGTGCGATCTGGGAACAATTGCTGGGAAATTACCGAAACCAGACAAAAATCAGTTCGTGTCCAGTTTACTCAGCCGATTCAACAGAAATTAAATACTGTATAGCCATACAATAACATGACCATGTTACACTTTTTTCTATAAGAGCCATTCAAATTATGCCCAGGCTCACTTTTATTATTTTTGCTGATTCCAGCATTGCTTTATTTCCATTTACAGAAAATTGTTATTGTACAGCAGTATATTACTGTGCCATAAATGTTATAAGATCGTTATCGTTGAAGTATAAACAGGCCTTTATCCAACCTGGGCTTCAATATTTGGAAAAGCTTTTGGTTTGTACCTGATTGTACTTTTCTTATGAGGTAGTTCTTGTTATCTTGCATAGTAAAATACCCACTACATGTCTTGTGACATGTTTCCAAACTACATCTTCCACGTTTTATTAACAAATTCTACCCACTTAATAAATGTTTCTATATCTTTTTTGGAAAGAGAACAAAAGATAGTTTCTGGTGACTAAATTGCATTCTGATGTGTTGAATTTGTGTAGAAAAAAATCATGGAAAATAATTTTATATAACCAATTATGTTATTTACTAAGATAATTCATATATAAGGGTTTTTTGAAATGATAATACTGTTAGTGCAATAAACAAGCAATTAATTACCATTAATCATTTTTTAAACAAGTTAAATTGGATAACAATTATATTTATTATTACATTTACTAATCTTTACATTTAATGATAATAAAGCATGCTTTAGCATGAATACTGCAATCATAATCTAACTGTAAATTAGTGGAAAGTGTCTTCACTTTGTTTCAGTACTTAGCAAAGGTTGTCCCATTTTGTGAAAAAATAATAAGAGTTCGTCAGTGTTAAATAATATCATGAGAGTCTCTTGTAGCATGAATACTGCAATAGTAATCAAACAAGTATTTCATTAATCAAATTGTAAATGATTTTAATTGAATTACAATTATACAGTACAGTAGTAATACTACTTACATTAAAAAAAAAAAAAAAGACATGCATATTGTTTTTAAGGTTGTTGGACATACTGTATTACTAAAATAAATATGCTATTACGAAGCACACAAAACCTGGTATAGTGTAATGCCTTAATTTTGTTAATAAATAGGTGCCTAGTATCGTCAGGAAAATTGAATCATACAATTTTACATCTTACACTGTATGTTTGCTCTGTAATTCATAAGATATTGGAATAATGCTTTACATAGTATATTTTATAACCATAGTGAATGATACGCAGATTGTATAGGCCTATTTATGAACAAAAAACACCTCAATTTCAGGGCATTCTATATTATATAGTTGAATTGCATTGTAATTAACCAAAAATAAATTATTGTATATACAATTTTAATAGATAAAATTAATTTAACACAGACATAGTAATTCATACTGGCAATACATTAACATAGCTACAGCATGAGGAGCCTCTGGTCAAAGGAGAAGCTAAAATTCACCTGTCTGTGGAGGATATTTAAACTCTGTGTAGTTGGCACTGGGTTCAGGTAATGCCTCATGTATGGACTTCATTACACGACATCAGCACTCGCCTGTCTTTGCCAAGATAACCACAGCACCAACGTACAAATTGCTGATAGGCTGTATACCTGTAACGCCTGGAAAAAAAATTGTGAAGCAATATTAATATCGATTATTTTTTGTGTGTGAGGGGAAGAGAAAACAGGAATTAAAGCTACACCTCATAAATAGTAATCAGATTTAATAAAATATTTTATTGGTCAATTCCACTTGTAAGCAGTGGGGTATTTTGCAAGACTTGCATGTAAGTGCACACACGAAGAAAACGTAAGGTACCACCCAAAATATTAACTAATGTATGCCTAATAGAACAAAAATATATGTTGATGTTTGCGTTACACCACATAGGCAGTTTTGAAAAGAACTGTTGTAGTTCAGAAACTCTCAACGTTTTGATTGAGTTGCTTCAGTCATCTTCGGGAGAATAATACCTGCAGAAATTGCAAACAGGGAAATACTTATATGTTTGAGTAGAGAAGTACAAAAATAATTCATCTATGTATTCTTTACCTTTCGACTCCCCCTTCGGTCACAGGCTCCTGGTATTGTGAAACATACTGCCAATATGCAATTTATAGTGTTACAGGATTTAAGATGGCTGGTTTTAATATTAATAATAATTGGAATTGTGATGAACACTATAAAATCCGCGAGACCAAAATGGCTACAGCTAAAAACTTGTGTATTTTGGATTTCACTAAATTTCACGCATGCGTGTAATTACATCCGTGTGCCTATCCTCCGATGCATATGGCTGCCAAATTCGTAAAAGACAGTCGTAAAAACAACATTAAAAATGGACTTGAAAAAATAATTTGAGAAATATATAGCCAAATTTTAATCATTTACGATGAAATACATATCCAGGAACAAAAATGTAAAGCGGATTAGCTATTACCATCACTGTATTGTGTCAATTGGCAAATAACCTCCACATTCCCTATCCTCGCTGTACAAATTTATCTTTTTGTGACGTCACAAAAAGATTTTCGGTGACTTTCGGGGGGAATTTTTGGGGGTAAGGCATTGTCCAATACGTTTAATATTGGGTGTCCGAGGTTTTCCAATGACTTTCTAAACAATGATGACAAGATTTTGGATTTCTAGAAACCGTTTCATATCCATTTTAACTTATCTTTCACTATTTACTTATTACGAAGTCCTTCCTTAAACCTTGGAGATAATCTCTTTTTCCTAGTGTTTTTTTCTGACTATGTTATTTCTTTTAATAACTTTCTACTTAAATTTTCTGGTTGTGTTTAACTAGATGTTTTCTTTTTGGTTGGATTCGACTCACAACAGCGCAATGTTTCGGCCTCAATATAAACAAAAGGCTTATACATACGTGCGAGCATCTGTAAATCAATGGTTAATAGATAATAAGTTATCCCTTCGACCTGATAATTCTTTTAGTTGATTCTAATAAAATGTGTAAAATATAGTCTGAATTAAAAAACTATACTATAGAATAAAAGCCAAATTATCAATCAAGTATCGTGACTTGACCTTGATCAAATTCTCTCGAATTCTTCTACTAGACAGGTCTCAGCCAAGGATAAACTGCCATTTCTTCCGGTCAAGGTTTTCTCAGCTGTGCATGACATCATCAAAAATACAAACTTTAAGCAATTAAAACCGAGTTGGCTACCACAGTATTTATGCTTTCGTTTGAATAAAAGAAAATAATTTAAAACTGATTATTAAATTTGACATGACATTAATACTTTTGATATTTCATGTATTTTACCTTATTGACTGAATTTCCCAATTGTAACTTAATTGTATTTTAATAGTGTATTTACTGATATAAAGTAATAATATATTAATAATATTCCTATCCTTGTTATATTATCAAGATAAAAAATTATAGTGCTATAATGCAATTATAGTTGTATTAAGCTGATAAAAGAAAGTTGTTGTTTTTAAAGTGAACTAAATAATAAGTATTCATAATTGATTGTTGACACTTGGACGTACAATATTGAAGGCATTGAAAAATTGAAAGGAGTAAGATCTTACTGGGAAAGCACTTAACGGATTTGTTATAACGAGAAGGAATTATATTAAAAAGAGGAAGAAAGAACAACAACAACAGGAGAAAAAACATAGATCACTTAACAGAAAAAAAAATATAAGAGCTTTTGACCGAAAAGTGAGCGCACACAAAATAGAGATGATGGATAGGCAGTTAGAGCCACACATGATTGAAAATCGTGTTTTTGAAAAGATTTAATCTCACTAAAGGAATATGCGAGATATCATTACAGGAGAGATAGTCTTTTATTACATTACTTGGTGGATTGAAAATTTACTTGAAAAATACATGGTATAAAGTAGTAAAATCGATCTGTGGAAACAAATTAAATTTAGGTCCATCAATACAAAAATGGATTAACTTATTTACTCTTGTAAATGGGTTCTTATCTAAAAAGTTTTGTATTCAGCGTGGATGCAGGCAAGGTGATGGACTAAGTCTTTGCTACGTGCAGAGGTAGTAGCATGTATGGTGAGTCAAAGTAAAGATATGAAAGGTTTATTTGTTCAAAATACTGAGTATCGCATATCCCAATATGCGGATGATAGAGTACTAATTTTAGACGGCACACAACGATCTCTTGAAAAAGCGTTCAAAATTCTGGAAAAACTTTTTCAAAGGTCTCTGGTCTTAAAGTAAATGTGGAAAAGACAAGGGCAGTGTGGTTTGGTTCATATAAAATAGAATAGACACAATTTGTCACAACTTAAAAGGAAGTTGGTTTTAAGCCAGGAGAATTTTTTAAAATCTCTTGGAATTTCTTTTAGTAAAAATTTGAAGGATAAGAGTACTTACAATTATGAAGAAGTTATTAAAACCCTAAATAATTGTATGTATAGTTGGTCTAAAAGGTACTTAACCATTTTGGGAAGAATTACAGTAGTAAAATCTATATTGCTATCAAAGAAAAATGTAATCATTCTGTCATTGCCAAATCCAGAAGATATAGTAATTAAGAAGCTTAGAATAAAATCGCTCAAAAACAAATGATAAAAGATACTGAAAATGGGGGGGGGGGTGGTCTTCGTATGATTGACGTTAGATCATACTTTAATGCCTTAAAAATAACATGGATTTGAAGATTGATTGGAACAAATTGTACTGAACTTTTAAATCGTGTTTTATAAAGCAACAAAAATTTATAATGTGTTTATCTTAGAAGTTTGAGTGCCAGATAAATATTTCAACTCAAAACATAAAATAAAAACCCTTTTGTGTGGAACAAATTTACTAAAAGTCATTTACAAACTACTACCAGGTTTTACAAAGTGCCTTGTGATCAAACCATATGTTTAAAATCGACATAAAAAAGTACACTATCACCATTGGGAAAGGGCAGGGGTAAAATTTGTCAAAGATGTTATGAATGACAACAATGAATTCCTATCTTTAACAGATTTTAGGCAGACATTCAATGTCAATACCAATTTTGTGGAGTATATGGATGTTAATAATTAATTCTTTTAAAAACATTTTAAGAAAGTTCTATAAATTAAAAAAAATACAAATAAATTGTATATTAAACCAACTTTGATTAAACTTTGTGAAACACAATCTTTAAATTTAACTAAATTAAAATTGAAAAAATATATATATTTTCGTCTATTTCTTGTCAATTTTATGTAATCAAAGACAAATATTAAAATTATATGGCGGATAAAGGTGTTTGTTTTTATAGCATATTTTAAGTTTTGTCTGTATTAATTTTTAATGTACAGTATTATTTTCTCTGTATACTATTAGGCCGATTCTTGATCATTTTACATTGAATTTTGGAGGCTATAATTTATTTCGATAATAATTATGATAATAAAGATAATGATCATTTAATAATATAATAATATTGATGATGATGATGAATAAAGGTGATGATGATGATGATCATTATCATGATCATAATAATATACCGTACGGTATAATAGCCTATGCCTGGTTATATGAGTAGTAAAGTAAGCCTAAGGGTAAGACTAAGGGTATAGTATATATATCATTGGCCACTATTTGACTAGTACTAGGCCTACAGTGTGGGATGCGATTTACAGTTCAGTCAAACAAATTTAAAGTGTAATAATCGTTAGTAAGGAGTTTTCGATGCACGACGTTAATATTAACTTTAACGGACGACGTCATAATTTATTCATCTTGCGTTGCAGAGTACAGTAAGCTATTTTCAGGATTTTACGTTAGTTACGTGTTTGCGCATCGAAAACTCCCTAATAATTTAAGCACAAGCTAATAGGCCTATTTAGAACACGTGGGCATATGGTTACGCATGCGTAGTATGCGTAAGTCGTAAGCAGATAGCTTTTGTTCGCCGCGTACACGCTATAAATTTGGCATGTATGCCAAAAAAAAAAATCAAACACGATAGATATTTGGCGGAAGCGCCACGAATGCACTGCACACGAGAGCTATGTGTGTACGCCAAATGCCACGATTGACACTTGGCGTAAGCAGATAGCTCTTGTGTGCGGCAGGCTTAAGGTGTCACGATCGTATAGGGCGCCGCGTAGGATAGCGCCGCTACACGGCGCTGTAAGATCTTTGGTCACGATCAATTGTTTTCTTACTTCTCATTATGTCACATCCGGTTCGTGTTCAAAGTTTATATTGCCGTGAGGAAAATTGATATTGCCGTTGGCAAAAGTTCATATTGCCGTAAGGCACTTGATATTGCCGTAGGCAAAAGTATATGTTGCTGTGAACCAAATTGATATTGCCGTGGGCAAAAGTTTATATTGCTGTGAGGCAAATTGACATTGCCGTGGGCAAAAGTTTATATTGCCGTGAACCAAATTGATATTGTCGTGGGTAAAAGTTTATATTGCCGTGAACCAAATTGATATTGCCGTGGGTAAAAGTTTATATTGCCGTGAATCAAATTTATATTTCCGTTGGCAAAAGTTTATATTGCCGTAAGGTAAATTGATATTACCGTGGGCAAAAGTTTATATTGCCGTGAACCAAATTGATATTTTCGTGGCCAAAAGTTTATATTGCCGTGGGCAAAAGTTTATATTGCCGTAAGGCAAATTGATATTGCCATGGGCAAAAGTTTATGTTGCCATGAGCCTAATTCAATAATGTATATTGCCGTGAGCAAATTGATATTGATAACTTATGGGCCACCGTAAATTTTAGACCAACATATGTCTTTTTTTATATAAATACGACAGGCATCAATACTATCTTGTTAATTTTTAGATTTTGTATTTACGGTGCAAACGAAAAAATATATTTCAAATTTTGTAACATTCTTAAAAGAAGTTAAAACATATTATAATTATGAAAGATACATTTTTATTAGAAACAACAACTTCGATAATATTTTATGAAAATAGGGTTGCTTTGAAAAACTGTTTTATGACTTTACTTTAATTATATTAATATACTAGTATGTAGCCTGTCTCTTATACACATCTAGATGTGTATAAGAGACAGCTATTTGACTAGTACTAGGCCTACAGTGTGGGATGCGATTTACAGTTCAGTCAAACAAATTTAAAGTGTAATAATCGTTAGTAAGGAGTTTTCGATGCACGACGTTAATATTAACTTTAACGGACGACGTCATAATTTATTCATCTTGCGTTGCAGAGTACAGTAAGCTATTTTCAGGATTTTACGTTAGTTACGTGTTTGCGCATCGAAAACTCCCTAATAATTTAAGCACAAGCTAATAGGCCTATTTAGAACACGTGGGCATATGGTTACGCATGCGTAGTATGCGTAAGTCGTAAGCAGATAGCTTTTGTTCGCCGCGTACACGCTATAAATTTGGCATGTATGCCAAAAAAAAAAATCAAACACGATAGATATTTGGCGGAAGCGCCACGAATGCACTGCACACGAGAGCTATGTGTGTACGCCAAATGCCACGATTGACACTTGGCGTAAGAGAAGGAAAGAAAAGGAGGTTAAAAAAGACTGAGATAACACAGGACAAAACAAAACAGAAAGATGGATGAGGTGATGTAGACTGGGGTCCCAGTCCCTAATCTTTGTCTTAATCAGTTGAAATGCTTAAGAATAAATCGATTTTGGCACAAATGGCGTTCCATATTACTTATTTGCATGGCGTTCCATATTATACTTTTTCTGGGATTAGGGACTGGGAAAACAGTGAGGATTTCGAGTGCAGGCACCACGATTTCGTGGTGTATGACGTATTTAACAACTTTGATTTCTGATTGGCTAATTACCGCGGCATAAATTAAATATGCTAATTACGCGTCCCCTCGGCCCAGCTTATGATAAGAAGAATTCAGGTCAGCTCAGCCTTTGCACCGCGACGAGTGCTAGGCCCCTATCACAATTTGTCCAACCATGGAGGTATTATTGAGAAGGAGATCACTCGGCAACAGTTCCCTTTGACGCGACAAACCCATGTGTTCCCCGCTTTTGCATCGCGCGCGGGTGTATTACCCTATAATTCACACTTTTTCGTTAGCAACAACTTGGCAACAATATGCATTTATACGCTTTCAGCAGAGCAGTTGTGCAATAAAGCGTTTGATTTTAACCCATTAAATATCTTTATAATGAACAGTGTTCCCCTGATTAGATTTTTTCAGACTTTTGGTATGTTATTATTTGTATATTTCAGGAACGGATTCCGTAAAATATTTATGTTAAAATTACTTCTGTGTTCATTATAATTTTGTCTAAAGATTGATTAGTTCGACTATAAAGCTAAGTCAGCGTTAACCTTAAAATGACTTAGTTTATTATAATCCTCAATCATTTATTAATTAATATCTGTTAAAATTAGAATTAGCGAATTTTAGCCAATTTATGGAAATTGAAGTTGAAATATAATATACTTACTTTATAAATTCTAAAACAATTCTCATTTTATCATTGAAGAAAAGCCTTTTGCTCTTTTATAGTCATGTTAAATTTTATCATTATACTCATTTGGCTCTTTGTTAGTGCCACTACCGTCGTGGTCACATCTTCTAGTATTGTTATTAAATTGTATTTGTATTGGTGTTAGTGTTATTGTTATCAGTATTGTTATTATATCAGTTATATTGAAGGCTGCTTATAAATGTTTATTACTCTTTCAACATCAGTTTTTATTGAGCCCCATGCTCTGTTTTGCAAACGAAGTTTGTTAGGGTAGGGTTCCATAAAATGTTATCTTTATGTAGATGATTGGACATAGTCCCATATTTCTGTTAGGGTACCATTCTATATAATGCTATGTTCATATAAATGATCGGATATTATATTCCCGTAACACTGTTGAATGAAACAACTGCAGACGTAATTTGTTATCAGATTTTTAAAGTAACCACGTTGAAACATTGTTTTATTTTAACTTTTACTATATTAAATGGATTTTATTTTTCTACAATAAATTTATGTTTTAGTGTCTTATTTCATTTCATGCTGTGACAGTCGTCACAACAACTATCATTTATATTTTTAATATTATATCGAAATAGATATTGAAGTTCCAACCTTGACCTGCCCTGATGACATCAATCAAGCCACAAATCTAGGCCAGTCAACATCATCAGCAACCTGGAATGACCCAGCAGTCACCGACAATGTTGATTCTAGTCTGTCAGTTACTTGTTCTCCTGTATCTGGTTTCTCATTTATTGTTGGTTCAACTCCAGTTATATGTTCTGCTAAAGATACTGCTGGAAACACAGGCAGCTGTACATTTAATGTTACAGTCAAAGGTATGGTGTTTTTATTGAATTTAATATTATATAATGATATTGTTACATTGTCCTGCTAACATCTATTAAGTCTGTTTTTACTTTACTTGAATAATTTAACATCAATTTTTATTATGCCATTATAGAAAATGTCTCATGCTCTGTTTTACAAACAAAGAAAGTATATTAGCGTACCATTCCATAAAATGATGTTCATATAGATGAACGGTGGACTATAGACCTGAAGCACTATAGAACGAAACAAATTACAGACACAGGTATATTACCGCTGAACTACCATGGAAGTATAAATATTGCCGTGGAAGTACGAAAGGCTAAACATCTGATACTGTAGAAAACCTGAACGAATTGCTTATATCATTATTGTTTAAAAGCAACCATGTTGAAACTTTATTTTATCTAAAATTTTCTATATTAAAGGAAGTTTATTTTTGTACAATATATTTTTATGTTTTAGTGTCTTATTTTCATTTAATGTCATGACAATCATCACAACTACTAGCATTGACATTTTTAATATTATATCGAAATAGATATTGAAGTTCCGACTGTGATGTGCCCTGATGACATCAATCAAACCACAGTTCAAGGCCAGTCAACATCATTAGCAACCTGGAATGACTCAGCAGTCACCGACAATGTTGATTCTAGTTTGTCAGTCATTTGTTCCCATGTATCTGGTTTATCGTTTAGTGTTGGTTCAACTCCAGTTACATGTTCTGCTAAAGATACTGCTGGAAACATAGGCAGCTGTACATTTAATATTACTGTCAAAGGTATGGTGTTCTTATCTAATTAAGTAATATCTAATGATATTGTTACATTGTCCTGCTAACATTTATTAAGCCTGTTTTTACTTTACTTGAATAATTCAACATCAGTTTTTATTATACCTTTCCTTGTACGATAGGCTAAACGTCAGATAGAAAACCTGAATGAGTTACTTGTGTCGTCATGGTTTAAAAGTAACCACGTTGAATCATTATTTTATCTAAACTTTTGCTATTTTAAAGGAAGTATATTTTTGTAGACTATCCGTATGTTTCTGTGTCTTATTTTCATTTCTTGTTGTGATAATCATCACAACTACTGGCATTGGCATTTTCAATAGTATTGGTGTTATTGTTAGTATTAATAATATTATTATATTTAGGTATAATTAAATGCTACTGATAGATATTTAATACTATTTCATATTAGTCAGATGCGATAGGGATTTAATTTGAAGTTAATGTTAATTTTATGCAGATGAAGAAATTCCAAATGTGATTTGCCCTTCTGACATCAGTAAATTCACAATTGAAGGCCAGTCAACATCAACAGCAACCTGGCGTGAACCAGTGGTCATCGACAATGTTGATTTTAGTCTGTCAGCCACTTGTTCTCGTGCATCCGGTACATTGTTTGGTGTTGGTTCAACTACAGTTAATTGTTCTGTTGAAGATAGTGCTGGGAACACAGGCAGTTGTACATTTAATGTTGAAGTTATAGGTAAGATGCTTTCGTATCTTTTTATTTATATAGGTAATGTTGTTTTGTCCAGCTAAAATCCATTAAGCCATGTTGTCCATGGTGTGCTTACTTTTGTAATTTTAGCATTGGTTCTATAATTTTAAGTTGTTTTCACAAATCAAAAGTTAAAAGTGTCCTGATTGTAGAATTTATTGCATTACTTAATAGTTTGTCCTAATAATGAAGGTAAAGAAAACTTGTGTAATGTACAAAAATCAGAATCATACCCCAACGATCTCTTAACAATGTTTATACAGATAGGCTTATAAACAATGCTGCTATCCGTCATTATAGAAATCAATAATACACATTCACTTAATTGGTTACGTTTCTCTGAAAGACGTTTAATTAATTAAATAAATGGGGTGGTGTCTAACATGTGATAGCTTTCTACTATTTAGTTTAAGTTATTGTTAATATTATCGTTAATACTACTGGTTTGTTATTATATTCATTTATAATGAAAAACTACGGATACATTTCTGTAACTGTTAAATACTAATGAGTCAGATGCAATAAGAATGTTAATTAAATTTAATATTAAATTTAAACAGATATTGATATTCCGACTGTTATGTGTCCTGATGACATCAGTCAAACCACAATTCAAGGCCAGTCAACATCAGCAGCAACCTGGAATGAGCCGATAGTCACTGACAATGTTGATTCTACTCTGTCAGCCAATTGTTCTCGTGCTTCTGGTTCTTATTTTAGAGTTGGTACAACTGCCGTTACTTGTTCTGCTACAGATACTGCTGGAAAAACAGGCAGCTGTACATTTAACGTTGAAGTCGAAGGTAAGACGGTTTCGTACCTACTTAAATTATAGGCATATGGGTAATGTTTGTCCGAGTAAAGGCCTGTTAATACTTCAACGATAATGATAACGATAAAAAAGCTAAAAAGCAATTGTTCATATAGAAAATAAAAGAAATAAGAGAAGTTTGTACACTAGAACGATTCGATAACAATTTAACAGTTATGCGATAACAACATATTTTGACAAATCAAATCAGATGATGTCATAATCATGGAAAAACCTTAAAATCGTAGTAGTAGCAACGATTTTATTGTTTTTCCATCATTATGACATCATCTGATTTGAATTTTTAAAATATTTTGTTACAATATACATGAAAAATCGTTATCGAATTGTCCTAGTGTACAAACTTCTTTTATTTCTTTTGTTTTCTGTGAACAATCGCTTTTTTATCGTTATCGTTGAAGAATAAACAGGCCTTAAAAGCTGTCAAACCGGCAACCTATGTTTTCTTTTTACTTTTTAATTTTAACTGTATGAAACAAAGATGTGATCAAGTAGGCCTACAGTAAACAAAACAGTAGTATTAATAAAAACGTTTTAATAGTAATGGTGATAATAATAACGATAATGAAATTGTGCACAGGACGAAAAGATGATGCAGATATGCTTTACAGAAAATGATGATAATAAATGCTTGCAGTACTCCAAGTAGTAGTTACTTCTTAAAGGAATTGTTTTTGTTAGTGAATTGCATCCATAACCTACTCTTCCTTTAGCCATACAGTATTTATATGAGAGAAGTAGTGATTTCAGAAATTTAATGACGATTTTAAAGGATTTTTATTTAACCTCAAAGCACAAAAACACTGAAGTAAACAAGATGGATAAATCCTATGTTTACATGCTTGGTGGGATACATAACAAAAGGAATTACAGAGGGCACTATTTATTTAGTACATTTTTTTTGCAGTTCCAAAAAAGACTAATATTAAGTGAGTTATTAATGAAGCTTTAATGATTTTTAAGCAAAATTAGCACATTTCTGGTTTGATTAAAAGTGTAAAATAAACCACTTAATGATAATTTCTTTCTGGTTTTATTTGATACATCAGATGTGTAGGTATATAAAAATTACATTACTTCAATTGTCATGTGGGGATCAAATTTATTGAAATTTCTGACTCAACCTCTGCCTTAAGTCTTGTTATATTTTTATCATTATATTTTGGCTCTTCGTTTATTGCCACTACCGTCGTCGTAGTATTGTTATTAAGTAACATTTCTGTTATTGTTAATATTATCGTTAATAGTATCGTAGTGTTATGTCAGTTATAGTGAAAGATGATATATTTCATTACTGATCAAATTATGAGTAAGATGCAATAGGAATGTAATTTTAAATTTATTATTATATTAAAATAGATATTGAAGTTCCGAGTGTGAGCTGCCCTGATGATATGAGTCAAGCCACAGATCAAGGCCAGTCAACATCATCAGCAACCTGGAATGACCCAGAAGTCACCGACAACGTTGATTCTAGTCTGTCAGTTACTTGTTCTCCTGTATCTGGTTTATCATTTAGCGTTGGTTCAACTCCAGTTTTATGTTCTGCTAAAGATACTGCTGGAAACACAGGCAGCTGTACATTTAATGTTACAGTCAAAGGCATGATGTTTTCTTATCTAATTAAATATTATATAATGGTATTGTTACAATTTCTTATTAACATCTATTAAACCTGGTTTCACTTTATTTGAATAATTCAACATTTTACAAATTGACTAAGTAAATCTGAACATCCGACTAGACTAGCCGGGTTAAAATGTGCTCCATGGGCCCTGTACACACCATGATAGATCCACGCTTCCCAAACTAAAGGTTGCAACCCAAAAATGGGTCACCAAACTTTTGTGTTGGGTCGTGGACCGGTTTGCAAAAAAAAAAAAAAAAAATTCTATGTGCTCATTTTCAGACAGGTAATCAGGTCTGACAACTTAAAAACAGCATGTTTAGGTGAATCCTCATTAGAACAATATTTTAATATGTACCCACAATGAATATTCTGAACTTCGTATGACCAATATTTTTTTTCAGCTGCCGTTTATTACAACATAATTGTGTAAATCTAAGCTCTCAACTGTTAAAAAATACAATTTACAGAAATAAACTGGAAACAAGAAATTACTGTAAGGTGACCTAAAAATAACATTATCCAAATGAGTTTTAAATGTGTATCTCTTGCAAATGCAAACAATAATTATACCAAAAAGCCCCTGTCATGGAGTTTGGTTGACAAGGCAGTAGTAACCAGTACAGTGGCACTTGGGGGGTGTTTGAGCACCCCCTTCAGAGGTTGAAACAAAATAAAAGTGCCACTTCTTAAATGTTATATGCCATTTTTCGGCATCTGGAAATCCCAAATTCTTACAATTGTCTAACTTTAGCCTCAACCCTGGTTGGCTGAGGTGGAGGTAGTTTCCATAAATTTTAAGTATCCAAGTTCCGTTTTCGGGCATCTATTAAGTCTCAAATTCTTAAAATATAGTCATTTGCGCCTAAAACCATGGTGGGGCTCGGGTAGATATCATAGATTTTGTAGTACTCAAGTGCTATTTTCTGGTATCTATAATACTCAACTTCTTTAAATTTTTCAAGCATGGTGGGGCTCAAGTGGATATGTTATTTTAGGAATTTTAAATCTATAAATGCCCTTTTCAGCACCTATTTACAGTATTTAATTCGGGGGTTTTATAAACTCATTTTGTCAAAAATAAAAAGAATTTAAAAGTAAATTAAGTTCCATTTTCGAGAATCCAGAGGTAGAAAATACCGAAAATTCTAATTGTCTCAACTCACATTTCATTAGTGCCTCCCCACCATTCCCTAAATCCTTGATAAGCAACTGGTAACAGGGTTAAAGTTTAGGCTTTAACTATATAATCCAATGGTTGAAAATATTTTCTGCAAAAATGTAGATTATATTTTCGTTTCAAAGATTGAAAGTTGTCTTATTTCCAGTGGAGGGTTCAAGGCTCCCCCACCCTCAAATTAAAAAAAAAAATGGAGAAACCAGAACCCTGCGGGTGCGTACGTTCCTTTGTACATAAAAAATCAATGTACATTTGTGAATTGCAAACTTGATTGTATCTTTTTGAATAATGATTGTGTGAGGTAATACAGTATTTTCATTTTGAGTCAAAAAAATCAATGGCAGATCCAGAAATTTATGAAAGGGGGAGTGGGTAAGGGGTTCTGAGAAGTGCATGGATGTCGTTATATGCAGGGCGGAGGTGGGCGGCGCCGCCCACTCTTGACGTCTTGCGCTGATCCTAAAGCTATTTTTAAGGCCTTCTGCCCAGCCTCATACAAATTCTCCCGCCCCCCCCCCTTAAAATCATGAAGAAACACAGGTTTTTGCTCCATAAACCGTATTTTCTGGTGAATAAGCCGCAAATTTTATACGCGATTTTCCCCTCGAAATTTGGGGTGCGGCCTATACACCAGTCGTTAACCTACTCCCAAAAATTTCAGATCGCGAACCGCAGCGAAAATCAGGCGCCGTCTGTCTAGCTTGGGCCCATGGGTCCGTCGATCTTAGCCGTTAAAGTATACTAAAACACTAATAGAACACACAGAACACCTTCAAATAATAGCAGTAAGTGGCCGATATGCCACAACTATCTCAGTTTGCTCAATGTTTACTGACAGTCGCGAAAACAACATGAAGAACTTTTCTAGGCAGCTCGGGACAGAAACAAAATGTCGGGAAAGTTTGACCCGACGCATGTGCAAATCAAATTTTCGACTAAAAAACGACTCAAAACTGGTGGTAGGGGGTATATGTTTTATCGCCTACAGCTTACATTTTTCATCGAACCGAAAAAAACAAACATTTCTTGCACAATTGCATTTCCACCAGCAACTATCGAGCACAATGTATACCTGCCGCTATGCACCATTTCGGAGCCTATTTGTTTACAAATATGCTGACCTCTTTTGGTGTCACATCTCATACACACATTTTACATGTGAACCATTACATTAGTTCCATGTGACCTAAGGTCACAAAGGAACTAAAAAAGTAAAAATTGTATTCAAATTCAATCTGAGAGGGCCTTTTCCAGCCATTTATGGGTACCATAACCATAAAATTCTTACCTCAGGCCCAACCATGGTGGGGCTAAGGTGGATGGACCCTCTATCTGAGAAAAACCCTCTCAGTTCGGCCCCCTCCTCTATTACCAATTCCTGTATCCGATACTGGTTTCTCAAAAGGGAGATCATTAGTAAACAATAATCGCTGTAACACTAGTGTCAAATAGTCATTTTTTAAAACATAAGCATCAAATTTTTGGGATGTTATAAAGGTCGATGTGCAAATTACTATGACATTTAATATTATATGTGTCATGGCCTGTCAGGGAAATCACAAATTGGGTCCCAGAGAATAAAGTTTGGGAAGCGGGGATATAGATGATTAGAGGATTATAGCCCGAAACACTGTTGAACTAAACAAACTTCAGACGTAAGTATGTTACTGCAAAAAGTACGAAAGGATAAAAGTCAAAAAGAAAACCTGTACGAATTGTTTGTGTCGTTAGGGTTTAAAAGTAAACATGTTTTTAATACTATTGGTTTTATCTGGGTTTTTTTTTTTTAATCTTTTCTGATTTTTTTTGTGTTAGATGTATTTCATTGTCACAGAATATTAGTAAAAAAATTAAAGCAAAAAGCACTCTGATCTTCTAAAATAGTGCTAAATATATGATGTAAGGATGATGATGAATTAGTAAGATGCGGTAGGACTGTAATTTAAATTTAATATTAATTTTAAGCAGATGAAGACATTCCAAATGTGATCTGCCCTTCTGACATCAGTAAATTCACAGTTGAAGGCCAGCCAACATCATTAGCAGCCTGGCATGAACCAACAGTTATCGACAATGTTGATGTTAGTCTGTCAGCCACTTGTTCTCGTGCAAATGGTTCATCGTTTAGTGTTGGTTCCACTACAGTTAAATGTTTTGCTGAAGATACTGCTGGGAACACAGGCAGCTGTTCATTTAATGTTGAAGTTATAGGTAAGATAGTTTCATATCTACTTAAATTATACAGTGTATATGTAATGTTGCTTTGTCCGGCAAAAAACTATTAAACCATGTTTCGCTTACATTCTAATTTCAACATAGTTCTTACAGGGTTCGTACGCGTCCTTAAATTCCTTGAATGTCCTGGAAAAACAAATGAGCATTTTCCAGCACTGGAAAGTCCTGAAAATTTAAGATTGTCCTTGAATGTCCTGGAAATTTGATAATTTACCATTAATTGCAGTACTACAAGTTGCCTAGTAAGAGTCAATTGAATGAGAAACGTTCATACAAGTAGGTTCCCACAGTACTCTTGAGAGAATCAGCAAGTCTTTGTAAGCCGCCAATTCAGGAATGTTATCAAGACAGAAAGAATGTCATTGCTGAAAATGGCCGACTGACTGATTCAGATAAACTGCAATTCAGTGAATAAAGTTGTTCGCCTATATTTTAATTAAGGCGGAGCTTTTTTTGAAATCTTGCATATTAATCATGTTTGCATTTAATTTTAATTCAGACATTGATAATCATAATCGTTAACTTTGTTGACATCTGCTATGGTGTTATTTGCTTTTTTGTCGTGTGTTAAACGTGTCGTGTAAACTTGAACTTTCAATTAACATTCAATTTGTTGAACAGGTCTTGTCGCACGTGCTCAGCCCGGTGAATTCGCTTTGGGTAATTCATCACTCTCCAGACATGCACACTTGTTCAGCACGAATGGGCATGTTTTGGCCCTATCCAGCACAAGGCAGTTAATTAACAATTAAAGTAACCATGGGAACGTGTACTTCTACAGTTATTTTCTTAGTGAATGGTGTTTGAAGGGCGTTTACTGTTAGAAGTTCGTGAATTTAGGGCAAGATATTTTGTTAATTATGTTTCTGAAATTTACAAAGTCATTAAAAACAATGCTGGTCGGCAGCTGATCTACATTTTGCTGTAGAGTAGATTATAAAAGTTGTAGGCCTACAAGTTAGGACTAACTAATAATAATAGACCTAAATATTAATAATAATGTTAGGCCTAATAGTAATGAATAATGATAAATAATAAAGTATAGTATAATTATGTGTTGAGAATAAAGCATAACCATTAAATGAATTAATAATATAGTACATCATTCGTTTAGACAACATTTATAAACACCTAAATATATATGAAATGAGATGCATTGATGTCTCCGCAACATAACCCATCGAAGGCTATATTGTTTTACTGTATATACGGTACATGTCAATTTTGCCACAGCTGTTCGCTGAACAACAACCCTGGACAGGTGGTAAGCCACCCCGCGGCGCCACAAACGAACCAAGTTATTCGGGTACGCCGGTACCACAAAGACACTGTCACGTTTAAGCAAAGATACCATTGTTGTACGTGCACATTTATGTTGCCGAGTGGAGAATTCTACGTAACTGTAGGCGATCAGTCCTGCCTTACTTTATCGGTACTTCCCCATACTCGTGGGAATTCCTTTGCTTAACATCAAATTTTACACATGTGAGAAAAACTTTATTTCCCACGAGCGTGAGAAAAAGAGACAGGTCCATCGCCTCCAAATTAGAGTTTGATAAAACTTAATATACATTCAACTAACAAATGCATTTAAAAGTAGTACAGCATATATATTTTATAATCAGTCGTAAAATCGCCGATATTTTATTGTTAATTTATATATTGTGTCCTTGAAAGTTGGAAAATTTGACCTTGAATGTCCTGGAATTGTCCTGGAAATTTGCTTGTTTAAAAACGTACGAACCCTGTTCTTATTATGGTGTTATTGTTAGTCATAAACAGATACTTTAATAGTTATAGGTCAATGGTATTGCAATAACAGCTTTGGTCTAGATGTAAATGAAAATTATAATATATAATATATTAATTTTAGGTGTATAACGCCACAGTGGGCGTTGTCAAATCGTTACGTTTCTAGGTATTTACATTACAGATGATTTGTATTGAAATGAACAAGTAAGTTTGTGTTGAAAAAAATGCCATCAACGCTTTTATTAAATTAGGAGTTCATTGGAGGATTTTGGAGAAAAAAAATAAAAGCTGTGTGTACTGGTACACACAGAGGCCTATTTACTGTAATAACAATGAGAAAAAATTTACCTGACCGTTTACAAAATTGGAAAACCTTGAATTTTGATTAAAAGATCATTTCTTGCATCTAGTGATCAAATTTTTCCCGGAACCCCTTTCTCTTTCGGGTTATCCATTCATGGAAAAAAGAATAGGTAAGCAACTCCATTTTTTAAGTATATATACACACATAAATACGGTAGGCCTTATACTGTAATAAGAATGAGAAAGTTCAGCTGTCCGTTTTCAAGAGGGGGGAAACTTTGAATTTTGAAGAACTTAAAAGTCATTAAAAGACACGTCAGAAATCTGGAAATCTCTTCCCGCCATCTAAGAATCAAAATTTGGACCCCCTTTTGTTTTTTTTGCCGTTTTTATAAAAAGTCTGACACCCCCCGCCCCCGAATGTGAATCTAGATCCACCCCTGGGGAGTTTGTGATTAGTTTTTAAATCGTGAGTTGTTTTCACAAATCAAAAGTTAATAGTATCTTGATTGTATAATGCATTGAATTGTGTAATAGTTGTTCTAATGATGAAGATAAATAAAACCTGTTAAAACAAAAATCAGAAACATACCCCAGTCATCTTTTAAAATGTGTATACAGATAGGCTAATAAAGAGGCCGCTATCTGTCATTAGAGAAATCGATGATGCAAAAAAACTTAATTGTTTACATTTTTCTAAAAGCCATTTAATGGGATGGTGTGTGGCATGTAATAGATTTATCCCATGTAGTTTCAGTTTATAGTACTGTTTTGTTATTATATTCAGTCATACATTGAGAAAAATGCTGTTAGATTTCCATAACTGTTTCACACTAAAGCCAAAAAAAAATTGTTTGTTTGCCCTCCTACAGCGGCCCCTAACTCACTTTAAGAAATAGGGGCGGGAAAAAAAAGGGTTTTTTTTAGCTTTTTTCTTTACAAACTAAAAAGAATATGTGTGTGAATTTATCTATATTTTTTGCCAGATGCCCTAAAAGTTGTTGTCTAAAGTAAGATATTGCCATTCTAGGGCTCTGTGGGTTATTTTCATTCCAACTGAGTATTTTTAAAAAAAAATTAATAAAAAACTTTTTCCACCCGCCACCTATTTATAATTTTTTTTAAAAAGAAGGGCAAACAAACAATATATATTTGGCCTGATGAGTCAGATAAAATAGGAATGTTATTTAAAATTAATATTAAATTGAAACAGATATTGAAATTCCGACCGTGACCTGTCCTAATTACGTCAGTCAAACTGCAGTTCAAGGCCAGTCAACATTATCAGCAACCTGGAATGTGTCTCTTATACACATCTAGATGTGTATAAGAGACAGACAGATGATTTGTATTGAAATGAACAAGTAAGTTTGTGTTGAAAAAAATGCCATCAACGCTTTTATTAAATTAGGAGCTGCTGGAAATACAGGCGGCTGTACATTTAATGTTGAAGTCGAAGGTAAGACGGTGTCGTACCTACTTAAATTATAGGCATATGGGTAATGTTTTGTCTAACTGAATTCTATCAAGCCTGCTGCCTATATTTGATTTTTACTTTTTAATTTCTTTTACTCATTATTTCTAATATTGGTGTTTTTGTTAATATTATCATTAAGCCAATAATTCATACAGTTCAATGATAGCGCAATAATATACTTAGTCTACATGCAAATAACACTAAGACAATGCACAGTGATAATAAGCGTATAACAAGAAAATCCCACTAAATGATGTTGTAAAAGTAGGTGTTGTCAAATATTTACTTTTCTGGGTATTTACTTCACAGACAATTTAAAGTTGAATGCGCAAATAAAATCGTTTGTCAAAACAGGCCATCAGAACTTTTGTTAAATCTCTGCATGCCATCGGATAGTAAATTGTCACAAATGTTTGGGTCCTTACTCATTTTTTTATTATTATTTTTTTTTTCTTTTATTACATTAATTTTTTCACAATCAATTCTATTTCTGATTATTGAGTCTTTACCTGCCCGGTGTTCTCTATATTCTAATATATTTATTTTCTTACTTAGGCATTTGTTTTTTTCGTCTGTGCTTATGATACTTAATTTGTGTCTTTACTTTTTTTTTTACCATTTTCTTTTATTCAGGTTGCTTATGCTTAAAGTTTCACAACTTATATAGGCCTCAATTCGCACTTTTGTATTTTTTTCCATATGCTTTACCCTTTACCTGTGCTGTATATTTTTTAGTGTGGAAAATTAACTAAAACTGAACCTGGATTAGTATGTTAAGAAGTTAAAACAGTAGTAAAAATGCATGTCATGATTTTTTTTTTAAAGTTTAATGTTGTTTTAACTGTTTCAGCCTGTCTCTTATACACATCTAGATGTGTATAAGAGACAGCCTGGGGAGTTTGTGATTTAGTCTATTAACACGATACTATGTTGATTTTATTGACAGAAATTTGTCCAGAAGATTACTGTAATAATGGAGGAACGTGTTCTATGGATATGAATAATTTTAAAAGCTCTTGCACGTAAGATGAAAAAGTTTTATTCATTTCAAAAATACCGCACCCACAATTGTAATTTTTGAGAATGAAATAAGGATATCAGCCGGGAATCGAACCCAGGACCTTTAGCACCAAGTAGACCACGGAGGCTTTTGTTTATTGATTCAATCTGGTAGCCACTTTAATCAGTTTCACATAGAACTATGGTTCATCCACATCATCTTGCTAAAATTTTCTATATGAATGCTAAATTATTCCTTGATAATTAAATAATTAGACTACAGTCATCTAGATTATTTTCTTGACTAACTTCTTAATCCAGTGGTTGAGCCACTTGGTAATGCAGAAAGTAGCCCAGCGGGAGGCCAGCATCCATATAGGCCAATTAGACTCCTGCTTGGTCATGCGATGGTCACTGACAGTTGCATCACAGACCCTATATACTTGTTGGTTTCATGCTTATTGTATCATTTTATTTATCTGGCTCTAACTAACCATTGAACGCAATTTAAATTGGCAACTAGATCAGCTACTTCATCCGGCTATAAATCCCATTATGAAATTAGCTTTAGAGTCCTTCAGCATTCTTAACGCATCCATATAGCAATTAGTTTGTGCATGCTTATAAAACAATCCAAGATCTGAATAGACACCCTCCACTGTACACTTTGTAAGGCTAGCTGGATCACGGGCCTGGTAGGATCTCGCTGAAAATCAGTCGGAAGTAAGTGAAATATGAGGCTACTAATATGTAAAATTGTTTTAATAGCTAAATCACAGTGACTGCATTAATACAAGGAACTGCAAAATGGCAACTTATTACATATACATATATCGGGTTTTCTCATAATCAAAAACACAACAAATGCTGAAAAATCTATACAAATGTTAGCTCTTCAGTCAAATTCATATTCAAATTTCAAAAATAATTGCTTTATAAGCAAAGATCTTATAAACACAAGATAGCGTTCTACGCGATTTATGCGTAACAAATAGAAGCATCGATTTGGCAGCAGAAAGTAATCATTTTGGGGAGACGGCGTCGTAGTTGTTGCCATAGATCTGAGATAAGGTGTTTGTGTTACACCAAAGTTTGTTACCAAGTACGTTATTGTTCCTTAATTGTAGATCGACGCTTTTAATTGTTACGCGTAAAGGTAAATTCATGCGGTGTACAGTATGTACGCCAAGGTCAAAGCAGTCAAAAGTTAAAAAGTTTTCATTTTTGCAAGAGGGCGCTGTACTGCGTTATTACGTAATTTGCACACAGATATTGCGGAGAACGCTAAAGTAAAGTTCGCCTACCAAGTCTGTCGAACTGCTAGGGCTTTTTCCCTCAGTGTGCAGTATGTCTTTAATAATATATTTGGCAGTACATACGGTAAGTCTAAATATATGCTACCTGGCTCTACATCCTCCGACCATCGTCAATTCTTTACTTTATTTCTTGATTTCAAAATTACTGTGATGCTCACATAGAATTACTTAGAAGTTTTCTACTTTTGTCTTAAGATGTGCCTTGTATGATATGTCCTTTAGACGACACTCTTCAGTCCACATTTTCCTTTTAAATATTCTATGTTCAACTCTTGGCTAGATACCTCTTTACTAAGCCTTTTGATAACATATTTGCATACTTTTACACTTCACTTCAGTACACTAATCATACACTGACATTTTGCCTTAACGTTCATGTAACTTATTACCATTTACAGATCGTTTACGGCGACTCATACAACATAGGTATATTCATTTAGTTTACGATTTAGTTAAAATTACTGTAAAGTGGAAAGAAATATCCCAATATTGTGTCATGCTATTATATTCATACATTATATTTTTTTAGTTCTTGTATAATCAGTCAATGAAGAATAGGAAAATTGATTGCAACTGATTAATAATACACATTACCCTGTTCGATTTTTTTATTTTCCCGCCACATATCTCAACACTGTACATTTATCATAGGTGAGGTGACTTCACCTCTCTCGACCATTTTTCATTTACTGCCAGTTAATATTTAAACATTTGTCAAACTCTCTTAATTCTTGCATCTGCTTTTCATGACTTCCAGCTTATCAGGATATAAAAGCATCTTCACGAAGATGGGCTGGCCTTCCATTATTTTCCCGTCCAAAACGGTAGCCTACCCCCGCCGAGGTTTAGTAACGATTCCCAACCAATACTAGGTTTTTTTTTTAAATTTTGAAGCTTTTACAACACCGTTCTTCTTATCTGTCTTTTTAACTTTAACTATGCGGATATTGTTTCGTAGTGCAAACCGTCTTCATTACAGGAGACCAGGGTCAGTTGTTACAAAATATACATTTTTTTCCTTAATTATGTATTTGAATGAGACTAACACACCATTTCTTTTCTAACAGTATATTGGTTATAAAACGAAGCAATTGCAACTGTCATATATCATATAACATTAATCAGTTAATCAACTGTAACAAATTACCCCTGTCCCGCTTATGTATGGATGTACGTTGTGGAGTTGACCAAAAAGGCCTTGGTAGTCAAGACAGTGTGAACATTAACTGTAATCATTTAATCAACTGTAACAAATTACCCCTGGCCCGAGGTGCATTATTTTTTCCCATACAGTTAAGGCAGAAATTATAGAGAGCGCTATTTTAGGTCAGTTAGGTGAACTGATATACATGAATATGCATGCCAGACCACCTCCTCGTGAAACAGAGTTCAGTAATGTGTTGAGTAAGCTGCAGTGCTTATGCATGGATGTACGTTGTGGAGTTGACCAAAAAGGCCTTGGTAGTCAAGACAGTGTGAACATTAATTGGAATATTTGTAATAATATCCCTATGTATGACTAGACACAGCATGGTCTTTCAAAGTATAAAAAAAGTACAATAATAGGATAGTATCCTAGATATGGTATGTCTTGTAGCACCTATATAGTACTGATTCTGTTAGTGTATTTGCTGTATTTCTTTACATGATTCATTGGCTGGTAACATTTACGGACTTTTTTAGTAGAACCGTCTGTAAATCAGTGAAAGCTTATTTTACCATCTGATTTTGATCGTTTTAAATATGCTATTAAATTTTTTTTAATTGGGTAGGCAACCTTTAATAAACAGTAGGCCCCTTACATCATTATGTGTATATAATATCGTCAGATTGGGTAAAATTAATGTTTATAATGGCCTATATCTCCTTGCTATATAAATCTATTCCTATTACTTTTATTCATTAAAAAAATGAAATAATATGTTTGTTTTAATCCCTGATTAAAACAATACATATCGTTTACATCCTTCAGGGTCAGTTAGTAAGTAGGTAGGTATGTGTTATACTTTACATTACACAAATAACCGACCAGATTCAACGCTGCTTTTTATACTTTCAAAAACCATTCTGTACCTAAACAGTGTCGAAGCATAGGAATATTATAATTACAATACTAATAGTTAATTTTCACTGTGTCGACTACACACTCTCGAGTGACTACCAGGAAATTTTGGCCTACCCTACTTATTACTATACGCCGTAGCTTTCTTATTCCACAAGCAGCGAGCACTGCTTTTGCGACTGGGGAATTTATGTTGTCAGTTCACTGAAATGATCTTAAATTTTGAGGTAAAAAAACAAACATTTTACTTGCATTTCCTGCATCTTGGCGGCCGGAAATGGCACTTTCAGGATTTGAATATAATTTTCAGTTTTTTCTCTCCATTCTTAGAAGTAATTTTCAAATATTTACTGGGGCCTGGGCCGGGTTCCTCTTGAATCTCTCACTGCATGGGGAAATCCTCTAACGCTCAGGTGACCTAAGGTTTTAAAACAAATACCGTATATATCCGCCGTACTTTGACCCT